CACCTTGATAGGAACCTACTGACTGTCCATACTTTCAACAATTGACTTAAAACTCACTTGTTGGAGAGAAGCTCATAAAACATCATTCCTCAAGTAAGTTACTCTTATTGACATTGGTATCTTCCTGGTTTCCATCAAAGCAATGATTAAAATTTATAAGGTTACTATTAATATGTTTAATTATTTATGTTCTGTTTACCTCACTACATGATAAAATTCACAGGGTAGAACCACATCTACTTTCTCATCCTTATTTTCCAAGCATTTAAGCCAAATAGCAACCATCTAATGAATGAATGGATAAATGAGTAAGTAATGATTGAACAGAGGAATGAAAGAATGAGTGAAATTCTTAGCAGTCAATGACAGAATATGAAAATATATCAGACCCTCAGTCATAGGTGATCTAGGATGAATCAAAGCCCTGGTAAGTATCTCTGTACAGGAGGTACAAGAGATCTCCTCAGGAGGAGTTCAGGGCTCCTTTCATAACTTATTTTCCAGCCACTGGATTTCTCTAGTCCCAGGACAAGCACAGACATAATGTCCAGACCCTGTTTGCTGAGAAAAGGCAAGAGAGGTGTAATTTCTGCAGCACCAATGAAGCATCTTCTGCCCCATTTTCCCAACCTTCCTGAGAGGAGACACACTGGGGAGTTCCACTAGTCCTTCCAGCATTGGTTCTGGGTATGGAGAACCTCTCCTTATGTCTAAATGTTCTGGGATTCACAACACTATCCATGTACTCATGACATAAACCTCCAATTCTTCCTTTTCATCAGGATGTACCTACTAGCATAACGGTCCCATGCCAAAACTTGTTAAAGACATATCTATATTTTGGTCAATCAAGACCTAAAATTTGCATATGCTTTCAATAAAAAGATGTATTCTAGTTTAAAAAACAAAAATGATCTTGTGTTCTATCTCTACTCAATTACAGGAGTTTATAGTCATAATTCAAACACATAAACGTCAAGGCAGATGTGGTTCTAAGTTTCAAGTTTTGCCTCGATTTGATCCCCTGCTGTCTCACCTTCTTGAATGTTCACAAACCAAAGTGCCTTTTGGGGGGTCTAAGGAAAGCACCTTTATTCAATAGTGATGAAGAGTTATTTGTTGATATGATTGCCACACCAAGTGGATCTTACCTAGGAAAGTTACAGAGAACTGAAAAGCTGCAAAGTGAGATAGAAAATATAGTTAAGGCTTGAGGCACATATTTTAACAACCAGAAGTAAGTGAGTTAGGGGTAGTGGTAAGGGGACAGTGGGTGGGTACACTCTGCAAGGATGCCTATGAGGGTAACAACTTGCTGGAAATGTGATCTCCTGGAATCGCTAGAGGAAAATCACAAAAGTAAGGCAGGCCACAGGTAAAGCATAGGTATAAGAACATAGGGACATGGATGAGCCAACAGGGAGGAATAGCGGAGATAAGATGGAAGCAGAATGTAGGAATATATGGTGAAGTCTAAGAAACACAGACTATACAATTTGTGGACCCCAGTATAAAATGAAAATGTTTGAAAACTACTAATAATTTCAAGACAGTAACAGAAGAGCTTAAAACAAGAGTGGAACCCTTTACAGTGCAGGGCTCTGGTACTGCATAGCTGCAAATAAAGCTGCCACGGACATGAGTCTTCAGGGGCCAAGGCTAGCTCCAGGAGCTCTCAAAACTCTTTAGAAAAGCAAGCTTTCCCTCATCTACTTTGCTCTTTGAAAATACCACCCCTGATGGAATTGGAGAACATCATTCTGAGTGAGGTTAGCTTGGCTCAAAAGACCAAAAATCGTATGTTCTCTCTCATATGTGGACATTAGATCAAGGGCAAACACGACAAGGGGATTGGACTATGAGCACATGATAAAAGCGAGAGCACACAAGGGAGGGGTGAGGATAGGTAAGACACCTAAAAAACTAGCTAGCATTTGTTGCCCTTAATGCAGAGAAACTAAAGCAGATACCTTAAAGCAACTGAGGCCAATAGGAAAAGGGGACCAGGAACTAGAGAAAAGGTTAGATCAAAAAGAATTAACCTAGAAGGTAACACCCACGCACAGGAAATCAATGTGAGTCAATGCCCTGTATAGCTATCCTTATCTCAACCAGCAAAACCCCTTGTTCCTTCCTATTATTGCTTATACTCTCTCTACAACAAAATTAGAGATAAGGGCAAAATAGTTTCTGTTGGGTATTGAGGGGGGGAGCCGGAGGGGGTGGAGTGGGTGGTAAGGGAGGGGGTGGGGGCAGGGGGGAGAAATGAACCAAGCCTTGTATGCACATATGAATAATAAAAGAAAAATGAAAAAAATAAAAAAATAAAAACTATCCTCAAGGTGAAAAACATGCTGTTGGAAAAAAAAAAAAAAAAGAAAATACCACCCCTGAATGATCACAGTGAGACAAATAAATCATGCCTGGGTTTAGTATCTAGAAGTGGCAAAATAGGGAGGAGCTCCTGGGGTTGTTATGCTAATTTTGATTTGCTGTAAATTTTAGAGTGCCTTTTCCTAAATTATGATTCATTTCAACACCAAAACTCTAGATTCAAGTGAAGTCTTCTGATGCTATTATAAGCATATATAACTGATGCTTAGTAAAAGAACATGTTGTAACGTTTCTTTTATAAGAGTTATAAATCAAAACATTCAAAATAGTTAATTTTTAATGTACCACTATTACCCACGTTTAGTTATAAATTTAATGTCTCCTTAGACCTCAGAGATGGAAATGCAACTCAAAACATGCAATGGTTGTTCAAAACTAGAAGGTTCCCTGGTATCTCATTACTTAAATATTTAAAGATATGGTTTTAAAAGCCTGGGGATATCTGAGCAAACTTGTTTAAAGGAGTCATAAAGAAAGATAAGTAGTTTTCCTCAGAAGCCTATAAAATTTATTACAACATATTAAAGTAGGATTGTATATTGACTAATTTTCTGAAGATGTTTGTTTTCTAGGGCTCATGGTGTTTGGGGAAATCTACATAGAAATAAGGGAATAGGGCCTTGTCACCATTGTCTACACTGCCTTGAGCAAGGCAAGGTTTTCTATGGGTCGTAGAGCCAATTCCAGAGCATCACATCTCAGGGAATGGTAGAGTGGATGTCCTGTATCTTGTGGAAGAGCAATAAAAATCTTTATTATTAAAGAGGAGACACAAATGCACCCTAGCACACTAATGCATGCTTATAGAAGTGTTTCATTGAAAATTCCCACACTTCTCAAGATAACTCCCAAATTCATAGAACTTTCCTTTGCCTACCTACTGCCAGCATGCTTGGTGCAGGTTTCATATGTTTGCTTTTTAATATTATAAACACTTTCTTCTCATTTAATATTGTCTGAGGTCAATTTGTTCTTGTATTAGCTTTTCTGTGAATAAATGTACTGATTCTCTTAAAGTTTTCCCTAAATAGGGAGAGAGGCAGAAGAACCTTAGGGATGGCTCCTCATACTGGCAAGCTTCCCTCTGGCACCATTTTGCTGAAAGTGTTAATGCCAGTGCTATACCTCTTTATCCAGAAAAGGGAGAAGAAGTAAGTACTCCAATGTGACCATGAAATATGCTGTATGGGCAAAGCATGAACCAGGGGGTGTTACATCTTTACTGTGTGGAAAGATGTTCTGTCTGAAAACCAACTCTTGTGTATGACCTGTGGTACTGCCAAAGCCACCAGTCTGATCCATTGGTGGGACCTACAGTAGGGTCAACAAAGAAGTAAAGCACAATAACGAAACTGTCCCCCAATGGCAATACACACTGGTTCATAGTTAAAATTAGCCAGGGACTGGAGGTGTGGCTCAAGTGATTAGTGAGCACAAGGCCTGAGTTCAAACCCTAATATTCACTTCCCACACATATACACAAAGTTGCCAGATCGCACTGCCATGTTATAAGAGGGTAAGATTTGAGGAAGGCACACATTTTCAGTTATTCCAAAGAACTGTCTCAAAACTATAGATTCTCCAGCACTGTGACATTACACAACTGTCCCAGAAAAATACATTTGTAATCCTTTTTTTCACACAACCTACCACATTCCTTATTCTGAACAAAATGTCATGTACAGTATAATCAAGTTCAACAGTGTGCATGTTACATGAACATTCAACTTCAGAGAATTTGTGACTTGGCATTAAACATCCAGCAGCATACAGGAGAGGTGTAATTCACAGCTTCAAAAACTGGTAGAGTTCAACATTACATTTATGAGCAGGTGGCAATTACATGTACCCCCTCACTCAACTATAATGCAGAAAGGACAGAAATTGAGGGTGAGTTCTTAATAGCTAAAGATAAGCTTTTTAAAATGCAATGCATGTAACTTATAATGGAAAGCTCGATACATAAAATACTAGTAAGACCTGCTCAAATGAATATTTCTATTCTAATTTGTTGAAAGAAGTACAGTTACCCATTCACCATTACTATGTCTTGATCCTGTGTATTCTTCAGAACTGCCATAGAAGAGAGAGCACAGTCCACCTTCTTAGAGATGATAGTTTCAGCTCCATGAAGAGACATAGTTTTATTTTCCTTATTCCTTGCCAAACATTTGACACAACCAGAAGGACATGAGAGTCACACCACACTGGCATATCTGGCAAAAGCAAGCAGTCCACTGAAAACCATGACTGGAGAACTGAAACAATTTCTGAGTCCATAATCATGCCTTTAAAAGTGTGTATGGATCCTAGCAAGGACATAATTTACATCTTAGATAACACAGAAACATTTGAATCGTGCTAAACCCAGCCCCAACAAGGCAGAGCAATAAGGTGGGTGGGAGATGGGGAGGTGAGGAGGGGTGGACAGGGCTCTTGGGAATGGTCAGAGCACATGGACATTCTGAGCTGCTCATAGAACACAGTAACAAACACAAGGCACGGTCACAAACATCAGTGAGCACAAGTGAGCACGTACACAATACAACACTAGAATGCAATATGTATATTTTTTTAGAAAAATAATATAAAAGATGGTTTCTCACCCCTCAAAACAAAACTGGAACTTTGGTTTACAGGCCCGGCTATGCCCATATGCCCTCCTCGTCATCCTGCGGCCGGCCCGAGGTAGGGAGGTGCACAGAGAAGGGAGCACCAGAATGAAAGAAGAGAAGGTTAGTCACACCAAGATGCACTGAAAGGCACACAAATCTTCACTTTGTTTTTTCATCTTAAAGAGTGAGGAAAAAAAAAAATCCATAGTAATTTAAGTTCCACATCACTGACTTGTCAAATGTATAACCAAGTTTCATAACTATAGCAACCCCTATACAAAAACATTCTACCCACCTAGCTCTGACTCTGTCAAGATTGGATTAGAAGATTAAAATTAGTCTACATTACCAGATGACTATATTTTTGGAAAGCATGCAATCTGAATCGCATATGCCTAAGGCGTATGCCTAAGGAGTAGATTAAACCTTTAGAGTAAGCAGAGAAGTAATTATAGTAATCAAATATCCTTAATTTTTCTTAAGCTTAAAGTATCAATAAAGGCTGAAAAACTTGGGTGGAATAAACTTTTCTAGCATGTGACAATTCACATCTGTTATTTTGCAAAGTCTCAAACATGCTTTGATCTTATTTGTCAGGTTGTATTTGGCTCTCAGTATAAAAGAGGACATGAATGATTATTCATTTGCATGAAATTATATATGCAATTAAATACACTTAGAGAGTAAACTTTTAATTCAGTACAATGCTTATAGAAAGGAAGTTAGGTTTAATTTAACAATGTATTCAACTGTGGATAAACTGAAACTAATTTGTTGTGAATTCTTGTTGAAAATGTTTCTAACATGCTTTGGCCACTTTTCTCTTGGTTAAGTGGTCAGTAGGCTGGAAAACGGAATCTTTGAGGACAGGAATATATTCACCATTCTGTCATCCCATTTTGAACAACTCTCCCTGCTTACTGGATGCATCAAAACCAAGTAAGCCTAAGTTGTTCAGATCCTGGTATCACACAACATTTGAGAGTGGTGTTATTTAGTAAGTCCCTAATGAAACCAGATTTTGCCATGATCTGTTTCTTTGTTTTTAAACTCAGGATGGGGAAAAGTAACTTGCAACATTTTCTCACATTCAGATCCATTCAATATTAGGTTGAATCATATGGAAATGCCAATATTTGACCATTTATTGGCCTAGAAAACCAGTAATTTCACAGTTCAACCCTGTCTTGCCAATTTGTCCATTCGTTGATTTAGATGTGTGGTCTTTGAATTGACTCTGAATATAATTTCTTTCCTTTGCATGTCTATGTATTTTGTGCATTTAAAAATATTATTCTGAGAAGAGGTCCAGAGAGTGCACCAGACTGCCGAAGGGATCCATGGCCCACAAATATTAACAAGTCCCCAATGGACTTGAGTCAATCAAGCAATTTGCACAGATCTGAATTAGACAACTCAGTATGAATTTTCCCTTGACAGTTTAGGAGGAATTTATTCTGGTAAAAAAAAAAATAATAAGGTTACACTGAACATTTTGGCTGGGTCTTCTTATGTAAAAATTACCTTTGTGTATTTATTACTGAACAGTCTAGTGAGTGTTCTCAGCAATATACTTCCCTTTTCCCTATATAACTTGGAGAAAATGTATTTTTACATTCATTGAACTTCCTCTCTGTTTCTGGAGAAAAGCAAAGTTGATGTTCTCTTTCATGTTAATGAAGAAGGAAAGTCTATAGCAGTATGACACCCCAGGGCATCTAAAAGTGGGCTTCAGGGGCTCTAGAAATCCCTGAAATCCAATGCAGAAATGTTGTTGGGTATGTGTGTGAATACATTTCTCTGGATAGAGGCCCTAGCTTTCATCATAAAGTTTTTGACTCCCAAAGTTGCTGCTATAGGAAAACTCCAGGCACAGAAAGATGCTATGATTTGCCAAAATTACAAAATAAAATAGGAGGCTTTCTCTAGAATGCAGCCCGTGGCCTTTGCTGATCGCTACCTAAATGACTATAAAATAAAAGAACTTTCTTTGCAGAGCAGTTTATTTCATTTGCATTTAAAACCCAACAGCACTTTTATGTATACTTTGTTCCAAATGTATTCATATAAGGTTTAATTGTTTTAAAAAAAGAAGAAAAAAGAAAAGTCACTGCCACCAAAATCTGCTTCTTTCTTTTTTCTTCCTTCCTTCCCTCTTTTCTTCCTTCCTTCCCTCTTTCCTTCCTTCCTTCTCTCTCTGTCTCTGTCTCTCTCTGTCTCTCTGTGTCTGTCTCTCTGTCTCTCCCTCCCTCCCCTCTTTCTTTCTTACATTGGGGGTAGAACCCAGGACCTCAACATAGTAGGCAAGCTCCCAGTCCTACCACTACTTTTCACAGTGCAATGTGGTCTAATGCAAATCACTTTTAGCAAATTAAATATATTAAAAAGTGGTAATTAATTATGATTGAAACAGACAGGAGTTGTAGCTTGAAAATATACACTGCCAATATCACTACTGTTCCTCATCCACCATAGGAATAAAAAGGAGCTCCCAGATGTCGAGGGTTATTAAAAGCCAGATGTTGAGATCGACGTCTTGTATGCTGGAGAATAAAGTAAAGAAATATGACAGTCCAATATAAACTTTGCTAACATTTAACATGGCAGAAATGTGGATAGATTCCTTTCATGAACTCAGAATATTATGCATTTTTAAGTTTTTTTTCTTTAAAAGTTTAACAAGTTTTTAGAAGAAAATGGAATGGGAAGTGGTGGCCATTTATGGTCTCTTTTGTCTTCAAAGTATAAACATGAATTGACCCTCATCACAAAGTAATTTGAGTCAGAGTGAGTGTCCATTTGGGGAATAAAAAGCAAAAATGCAGGAGCTAATCAGAGAGACAGCTCCAAGTCTTCCAAACATTTGCAGCTGCCTGACTGCTCTGCTGCCTGCCACTCTGTTTGCAAATATTAGTTTATTCAGCAACCTTACCAAACAGAAATGCAAACCTGAGAACGAAAAAATAAGAAGCAGATAAGGACCAATCTAACTTCATGCCAAGTTATTTAGAAATACTTGGGAGTCCTAAAATACATCTATCAGGCCTGGGAGAGTCTGTTTCCTTTCCTTGTTTTTCTGATTCTAAATCTACTCTGCAGTGGCTGTTCTGGAGGCTGCCTGGTGTTTGATTCCTTGTGTGTCCCTTGTGAATGATTGCTCTGCCAGAAGCTGCCAAAATAACTGGCTGGGAAGAAGCCTCCAGTCCATCAGTCATCTGTGGGCTTTTGTCCATGGCATTTGAGGCTGGGAACATTCAAGGTTGACTGAAGCCCAGAGCAGAGAGACCACAAAACAGCAAGGCCTGAAGCAAGGGGGAGGCTTAAATATCTAATAACTTCAGGCTGTGTCTACAGCTCCAAGGATGATGTGACAAACAGGAGGTCTCAGTGGAAATCCTGCAGTCCCAGGTACTGGATCCTAATGGTATTCTCTAAATACCATTACCATACTAGATAAAAAAAAAAAAATTCCTCACTAGATGGGCTTCTCACCATGGCTGTGTTGATGACAAGATCTAGAAGCAAAGGAGCTGAGTCACTGTTGACAAGGTGAGAGACTTGCTGTTGTAGGGGGTATTTATCAGCCCCAGCAAAGAAGCTCTGAACAAGAAGTCTATAATATGACATAATAAACATTCCAGGATAAACCTTTAGCTGATCTCTATTTTGAAGTATTAGGTATAGCTAGCAGGTAAACTCAAACCACCCATTACTGGATATACTTTTTTAAAACACCTGTGATACTCTTTGAGTTGAAAGCCTGCTTTTTTTTCCCTTGAAACTGAAGGACTAAGTTCCTAATGGAGACATTATTGTCCCATCTATCCTAGCTAGAAAGGACTTCCCTCAGAACAAGTATGCTGGCTATAGCCAGATCTGAGGTTCTGGTCTCCAACCCCACCCCTACTTCAATTCATGGCTTCTCTGAAACTTCAAGCCCCAGGATTCTATAAACCTTGACTGTACAAGTCACAAAAGCAGAGTCACCATGTGGGATTTATGATGTGCCTTGAGCCTGCGTTCTAATAGGGCAAATTCTGTTGGCATGTTCAACTGTAGAGTTGGCCAGAGCTGGGAAAGGCAGACAAGTGAAGGAAAACAAGAGGAAAAGAAAGACACCAAGCTCCATCAGGACACTGAGTTTTCTCCCAGGTTTAAGTTCAACCCTTCCCTCTAGAGATTGCACATTTTTGGCTCTCTTTTCTGCTTCCTGTAATATTTAGCCCATGGATAGAAACCTCTGCTCAGGTGATAGGGTCAGGTATGGTTGTAAATTCATAGGTGACTTGTGTTTGTTATAGCCTGTGAGGCCCATTAACAAACAGGTTTCACCAAAGAATAGGGAAGTCTTTTGTTTAAATATAAATGTTAGCTGATTTTTGAACTGGGCCAAAAAAAGCCACTGTCACATATTAGAGCCTCCTCTAGGTTAGAGAAGTCCTAATAACCACCCTTCTTTCTCCACTAAGGCTCCCTGTGGCCCCAGGACACAGGTGCTAGGAGGTTCTTTGTGCAGATGTGGGGACGGAGGTGAGATAGCTTGCCAAAGTACACCTGGCCAAGAGCTGTACAGCCATGGTCAAATTCCAGTCTACTTACCTGCAAAAGCATATGCTTCCAACTGCCATAAGAGCCAAGATCACAGAAAAAAGCTCATGCTAACACTGCTGTTATTTGTTGGTTCTGTTTAGTTCAGCTCTGAAGTACTCTGGACCCTGCATTGCCCTCTTCTCAAACTGGTAAATATCCTGATTGAAGGGTGATACTTCAACCTAAGCTGGGTCCATGTGGCTCTTGGGAGAAAGGGGTCCCCACAGGCTGATGGGAGCTCTTCATATGGACAGATTAGCAGCTTCCCAACAATCTTTAAGGTCTCTGAGGAGAAAGGCAGCATCTTCACTTCTTTCATACCTCCCCAAGGAGGGAGCTTAACAAACATTTCTAGATGAGTAATAAAGTTTTGGAAGACTGGATTCTTAGAGAGAATGCTGTCTGGATTCCAGAGTTCCTTAGGGTTGTGAAGATCATGTTGACTATCTGCTCAGAACGACCTCTTT